AAAAAATTTTAATTTTGTGTATTATTAAATGTATGTAAACGATGATCAAAGTTTAAAAAGGGGTAGATACGCGTACTTTGTATGTACTTCTGTTACATTTCTACGAAAAGTGGGTTGGCTAGCACGAATTTTCTGTGTACCATTGGATTCTGCAGACATTTCTGAAGAGGAACCCCTCCACGGGAAGTGTGAGAACGGTTTTTCTTTCGGACAGGTTAAGAAAATGTCCGTGAAGAGCGCGAGCACGGAACTTTTGCGCCACACAGCCATCGCTTACCGGCTACAGGTATGCAGGGCCGTGACTACGTGCTATATAGACCTGAACCACGATCATTTCTTATATGTATATATATATATATATATAATGTTTAATTGTTTTATAAATTTTCATAATAGTTGTGAGAAAGCTTTTCAAAGTAAAAATTTTACTTTTTATGTCGCATAAATGTAATCCATAAAGTAGAACATTATTTGCGAATAGTAATTCCTAAAGAACTGGAGTGCTTTTATTTTCATTATAATTAGTTACGACTTTGAATAAATTATAAATAGTGTTTCAGCTTCTCTTTGTGCATGTTGGGATTTTCAAAAATCAACATATTTAATAAAAAAAATAATATATATATATATGTAGGATTAATTTATTAAAATCCCACGTGTTGCCGTGGTGGGGAACAAAAAGAAAAAACACACTCACTGGGTAACAATAACAAAAATGTGAATAATACTTTACTTTAATATAACTCGCTGACTCGCTAAGGGTTACTCGCTAACTCTCTCTCTCTAAATGTCTCGCTGAATGTCTCGCTCGAAAAAGTCGCGCTCAACTGGCCCCGGCCACGCATTTCCTCTCGCTTTTCATGCACACCCCCATTCTCTCTGTCTTTTTTACCCTTGCACCCTTCTCACTCGCATCTTTCGTCTATGGTCAAAATTCACGTAGTCACGTACACGCTTTTTTCACGGTTCAGTCGCTCGGTTCAAGACACTCTTCCTCGCATTCTTTCAACCACTCGAGATTTTCTAAACGCAGTCACACTATTTACCAAACATCGCGGCGCCGGTCCGCCGCACTATGACCTGGTCGCCCGCACGCACACACAACAAACCATTCATTCCACACTCAGTCACTCATCTGGAAAAATCCAACATATATATCTACGTATCTCGGAGTACCAACAAGTACTAAGAAGACGAAAAAAATAACAATCAGCACGACCGGGTATATTATTTCACTATCTCTATTTGAGGTTTATTGGTAAACATAAAGGAAAAGAAGACATTTTAAAGGAGTTCACAGATTATACAAATAAATTTGAAGAATTCTAAAGAAATACGTTACATTTTAATGATAACACATATACGCTATTTTTTATTCAGAAATCTACATCCAGGAAGCAGAAATCCACTGTGTCTATGAAATATCCTGATACCACGACTATATAGCTACATCGATGTCTCATCGTAAAGAGTATAGCTAGATAAGGGGATTAAAGCTACCCTTGAACCAAATTAAATCAATGATGGAACTTTGAATACAATAAATTATTAATAAAAATTTGGATTATGTATTAACTTTTCCTTTATCTTCTCTTGCTTAATTACAGTGGGGCTCCGAGTTACGCCCTCCCGATTTACGTCGTTTCTACGAAATGCGGTAGTTAATTGTTTTTAACAAATATTTCTCGCTCTACGCTTTAGTTTTAACTGAGCCAATCTAAACCGTACTCGAGTAAAGAGTATATGATTATTTTAGTTATTATTTAAGATTATATAGTTTACATACCATTTAAGAACTTATAGAAATATTTATCTATGTATAGGTTTATATATATGTATAGGTTTTGAGGTTAACTAAAAAATAAATTTGCCAAAAACAACTGTGAGGACCTTTCTTAAAGATAAAGAACGTATTTTAATGACAATAAAAAATGGTGGTCCGTGATGTTTCAATATTATTTGTGAACATCGTAATCTCATCGGTTCTTTGTAAACATTTCTTAAATGTAATCTCTTCTATTATTTTTATACATTTCAAAGAAAATGTATCTCCTAATCTGATGAATAAATGTGAGTACAGATATGTATATTCGCATACATGCATACATGTCTATTCTTTGTATTTACCTTTACTTACGTCCTTTACGACTTACGTCGTCTAACCCAGAACCAATTAGGACGAAAGTTCGGGGTCCCATTGTATATATATGAAATCTGAAAAACTTCTCGCAGATTGTAGCTGTCGAAATAAAGTAGTATTTCGCTGAATACAATAGATATTAGCGACTATTAATGAGATTTTGTTATTTCAAATTCTAGGCACAAAGAATTATAAATCTTTTAGTAATGACATGTTGTTATAATTAAATGTAACATACAGTTTTTATTATTTGAGTTATTTCAATTCCTTAAGCCGATAACATCGAGCCTGTGATATATAATGGGGACGACAAATCTCCGAAGAGCAACATTAAACGTTATTCATTTTATTAATTTAAGACTACGACTTCGTTTTTCTATATAAACGAAAAAATGTTGCTCGTCATGTTAAAAAATGAGATTAAGATTAATACTTGATTTGAAGTTTGCGAATAATACTGTTTATCGAGGAAATTCGATACTTAAGAGGTTAATTTTACACAATATTTTTCTGAATATAAATGGAAAACATCTAACGCCACCGAATGCATACACGTAATAAAAAAAAATAGAGATATTTTAAATACAAGTTGCTTTGCGAAGAGACGAACTTCAATGCGTTTAATAAAATCAAAAAATGTGAAAATATTTAAAAACAATAGTTATCTGACGAGCAAAAACGTTTCCAGGGTTTTCGGAACTTTCCCTGGTGGATGTATCGTCACGATCACTACCTACGAGTGGCAGTCCGTGGACCTTCGTAGTAAGTCCTACACGTGCTAAGGATTGAACTTCCTTCTTTCTCCGTGTGGCAGATAGAAAAACGACGAGCGAGTGGATTTCGGTGACAATATGTTCTCGAAAGACGAATCGTTGTGGCTGCAGGACTTTTGCATATACGTTTTAATGCACAACATTTTCAATCTTATTGACATTTTTATTGTTGTTATTCCACTGTTGATTTTAATGATAAACTTAATTTTTTTGTTATTCTTATTGTTCTCGCACGACGTTCTCATACCACTGTAGCGACTTCGTCGCTACTACGTCGCCGGTAAAATATACAGTTATAAGACAAATTCTTTGTAAGGACTTGTACGGACACGCGCATAGCAACTGTCCGCACAAGCCTGGGGTTTTCCAGCGCAACCCACGCGCTGGAACATATTTTGTTCTCTCGAGTTTTTCCTATGGCTTTGTCCATCTGCGTTCCTCTGTCTTTGACAGGTATTTAACCCCGGCAAGAGAGAGGAACGAGACAGTCAAGATACACCGAACACACAGTTAACACGCGGTCAACAGGCATTCAGTATTCAATTCTCAAAACTTCAACACCGAATCACCGACAATTACTCGCGAATAACCATATCATACGAACCGCGTTTTTGTAACACATCAATAAATACAGTATAGTGCTTCCGCGTACGTAAACGTGTGTGTGTGTGGTTTGTGTTCAACCATTCCTTCGTATCTTACACGCCACCACCACACCACTCTTAATTTTTCATGAAATATCATCCTACTTTTTAATTTTTCTAAACTTTAATTTTCTGCCATTATGTCCAATAGGAGTATTTTCCCAACATTTTTAAAAATTTTTGTACGTTTATGACCCTCTGATGAAGCTAGATCCAATGATGGTGAAACGTTGGGAAAATATTCCTATTAGACACAGCAGCGACCCCAAAAGGGTCGACCCCAAAGGTGTATCTTGTCGACATTTGGCAACATCTTTTCAACATTTTTACATTCAATTAAACAAGCAAAATAAAGAAAAATGCTATAATCTTGATCAATAATAATCTGAATAATCACCTTTTCCAATGAAAGTAACGTGCATTGATAATAAATTATCTACGTGTTTATCGGAATAGAATAAGACCAAGAGGGCCAGAGTTTCGTTAATTTATAAAAATACGTATGAAAGAAGATAGAGCAATTAGACTTTAATGAAGGACAGAGATATGAAATAGTAATTAAATCCGTACTCTTTTGCTTAATCACCGTATCAATGACGTAGAACACAAATTAAAATTTGTATGAAATGTCCTTTTGAGATTTATTTAACGGTTCAACGTTGATTTAATTTAGTTGAAAGGCCCATTCGACCCTCTTATTCAGCTCTTTCCTTTACTTTTTTAAAATGAGAGGACCAAGTCGAAAACGCAAAGTTAACAATTTAAATAAACTTGCGACGTACGGTCTTTTTAGCTGCCCGAAACCGATATACCGAACATCTAGCGGTACTATCCACGTACGCTAAAACATGAATCCTAAAATGTACATCTCAAAGCCACATATTTGACTATCACTTTCCGTTAAGTTGTCACAATTTATAATTGTAAATGCTTTCAAACCACATTTATCATACTACTATTCGGACTAATTTTATTCACTTTTCCGCAAAACTTAAAACCGATCTATGGCTAATTATATTCGATGGTGCAGTATACTATAACACTATATTAACCACACTTATTTGTAAGTTGTATGAAACGTACCGGTAAAGATTTAGAGAAATATACGTGGAGACATGTATTTCTAGATATGGAAAATATGTAAATAACTCTTAATATATCAGAACTTTATAAAGAATTAATTGTACTTTGATTGTGACATAAATCCAGATGGTTAGTCCTAAGGTTCAAATTAATATTAAAATTCGATGTTACTACGTTAAATAATTTTTTAGATATAGTCATTCAGATCTGAGCGTAGTAAAGTAAAGACAATACGTGTAATACTTACATGTGTATTGTTTTGAAGTAATAGCTTTTTTTATTTTTCGTTAATTGCACATTCATTTTGTACATTGTTTTATAACGTTTTATGAAGATACATAGAACTGATTTATATCTTACCTTGCCACAAAAATAGTATTCTGGAGGTTCTTTGTCAACTAATGCCAGCACTGCTTCGCTCTCAGCTAATGGACTCCCAGGTTGACTAGTCGCTATTCTGGACCCTTTTTCTTGATAATAGGTTTTATGGAAGACTTTCACTGAGGGCACTGGCAGCGCCGTGATCATCCTGCGTAGATACATAAAAACATTAAATACACTACATATGTGTACATATACTAATTAAGTAAAGCAGTACAAACCAGCATTTTAGTGTAATCATAAATATACATCTCTAAACCAAATTAATATTACCAACTGAATATTGAAAACTTTTACATATGTAGAAATTACTAATCATTCGATGCAGAATTCACTTGAAATGAAAACGATTAACTGTTCGATACTTGTTGCTAGTGTGAAAAAAGAGGAAACCTATTTTCGGCCATATCAAAGAAGAAGAAATAGTCTTTATCGGAAAATGCGATATTTGATCGTTTAATAGATAATCAAAATGGTCATACTATAATACAGGCTTGCCCAACCCGCGGCCCAAGACAGTTGTAAATGCGGCCCAATAAAAAATCATAAGCTTACAAACATTATAAGACTGCGACTAAAAACCCATTGGCAAAACTACAAATTGAAGGTAAACATGCTATTGATTGATACGTAGCCCATAACAACCCGTCCTTTTTCTAATGACGTCAGGGAAGCTAAAAGCTCGGCTGTCCCTGCTATAACGGAAATATGAGATGATGTACACAGGTTTCTAAAATACACTGCACAAATGACAGGGTGCATATAACTCATTAAACTGAGTAAAAGCCACCCATAAACATGAGACCAAAGCTCAATAATTTTCGAGATAGAAATATGTATTGTTTAAAAAAATGTATGGGGACCGAGTCAAGAACATCGAATTATCTCGAAAAGTATCAATGATACTAAGAAATGTGCCAATCAAAAATTAACGTGACGTTAAAACGTCCTGCTAAGGTCACGTTGCAATTCTTAAATTAAATTCCTATGGTTTTTATTCCATATTTTCGAAGCCGACATTCAGACGTTTCCAAATCATAGAAATGAAATTTTTCTAGCCAACGGATAGTGCAACTGTCATAAGAGAGTAAAGGAATGCAATATTCAGGGTCCTTGTTTGTTACACGATAGATTTCCGGTCTGAAGATGTGAACGACATCGTTTATCTATAGGACCATCATCATTACCGACGAACCGACAACTCTGGTTGTTATCTTGATAATGATTTACGCAAAAAATGTCATTTCTATGGATCGGTCTGAATATGGGTTTGAAAAATATAGAATAGAAAGTATACGGTTCTATTTAAGAATTGTAGCATGAACTTACCAGGACGTTTCAAGGTCACCTCATGGTCAAGTATATTCTGCTGAGATATGTAGTATGTCGTACCCTGTGACTTTTGTTTGATACATTTCTACGTATCACTGATACTTTTAAAGACAATTCGGTGTTTTTGATTCGGTCCCCATACATTTTTTAAAAAATAAAACCCATTTTTATTTCGGGAACTATTAACTTTCGGACTCATGTTTATTGGTTTTTTTTTACTTAGTTTAATGAGTTGTATACGCCCTATCATTTGTGTGCAATAATTTAGAAACACCTTGTATAATAAATGTTAAAAGAATGGTACTCTGAATTAAAATTCAACCCGACAAAGTCGGGTAATAACGTAAACGTGTCGAAACCAAGGTGTCAATGTTATAATTACTGAACCGATTATGGTGAATAGACGTCTTCCCTTTGCCCCTGTGCACTTTTAGTTGTGAGTAGTCGACACAAACCTCTTTATATTGTAGTATCTAGAATATTTAGCGTAGATTAAAGTATTGTAGGATGAATGGTTTGTTGTGCGTGCGTAAGGGCGACCAGGTCGTATTGCGACGGACCGGCGGCGGGATGTTTGGAAAATAGTGTGACTGCGTTTAGAAAATCTCGAGTGGCTGAAAGAATGCGAGGAAGAGTGTCTGGAACTGAGCGATTGGACCGTGAAAAAAGCGTGTATGTGACTGCGTGAATTTTGACTATGGTCGAAAGATGCGAGTGAGAAGGGTGCAAAGGTGAGAAAGACAGAGCGAATGAGGGTGTGTGTTAAAAGCGAGTGGGAATGCGTGCGAGAAGGACATTTTGGTGAGAGACAGCGTGAGGAACATTTTTGTGCGTGATAGAGAGTCGTGTGTTGGCCTTCGTGGCATTAAGTTGTATTTTACGTGTTGTCCATATTGTTTCCTAATTCTCTTTTTACTGAAGATCCACCTTTTCAATATCTATAATAATAGTAGCCCCACTATAAACTTGGGGCTCGTCCGAGATTACTATAATATTTAAGTTTTGTGTCTTTAAGTAAAATCTCATTGTTTTATTTACTTTAAAATGACATAAAGATTTGGTAAAAGTACCACTTGTAAATTAAATTAGAAATTATAATAAGTATCTTAGATTTTCTTTCAAATTTTTACAGGATTCGCAACAATGCAAAATCAGGCTTGATCGTAAAAGATCTACATTGTCGGCTATGTTGATGAAACACCTTATTGCCTGCGGAGGATTAGTATAAAATGGTAATTAACTCTATTGAACAGTGTATCGCCAATGTATCTGCCTTGTTATCCATCTATCGAGAAAATTATATAGAAATTAAAAAAAAATAACAATAATCTGAAAACCTAAGGATGAATACGCCAAACAAATAAGAATAATTCTGTTATTTCAGCTTTTCCTGAATCTGAAAGAAACATATAATCTCGTGTTGTCTTGTAACGTAACTCTTTTTCTTAAACTTCGTATTTAATTAATCGAACGGAAAATTGTAATTACATGTAATGAATTGTTTCATTAGGTAACAGAAGCTTATACTAGAGTAAGTATATATTTTCAATCCCAATAAATGTTTAGCGTAGTTCAAATTTTATCAATCCTACCTGAATGTTTGGCGCGAGTCAAACTACAGTTTCCATTATAACATTTCTTATAGAATTCTGTTATTTACTCTACGATTTTTCAAAAATTAAGAGAGTATTCACTCGAAAATGAACTAGTGACAACTTTTTGTCACTATCAGAGCCACCTTAATTCGACTCAACTGAATTCAAACTTAATACTTTTGTTACAACAATCCTTAGAGATCGTCAATTGCTATGTATCTTATTTTGTTCACAATGTCCTGAGTTATTCCGTCACATATACCTGAAAATACATATAGTTGAAGATCTCATCAATCAGACCGGCATCAGCAGACATATGTATGTCGCATACACTGTCCATTTCTACTTTGATGGATCAACGGAAAATGTTCCTACGTCATAAATATGAGATTTTCCGGATAGTTGTGGCAATTTTCCGAATTAAATACGTTTTTCTCAACGTCATATTTGTCTAACTATGTAATTACGCAGTGTCTTTGTGTGAACATTTTCTAATAGGTATGTATAAGTAGATTATTCTTTATTTATTGTTCGAAAATGAATATTTCGAGGATTTAATATTTAAAACACAAGAAGTATATTTTTTAAAAAATCAGTAACACTTTTCATTTTTTAATATTCTTTTGTTTTAATCTTAACGATAGTCACACTTGGACAAATTAAGAAACTGTTCGACTTTCGACTCGTAAATATTCTTTATTGTCAAAATACATAATGGCATCCAAATTACGTCTAAATTAATGGCTTTCCATAGTTTGCTTAGAATAATTCTTATAAGTCATAACACCACATAACAAACATTATAACGCTAGATATCTCGTCTATAACACCACATAATAGAGTTTAAAACGCAAGATATCTCTATTGTCTATTGCATCGCACGCAATATTATTGCATCTATAACATCGTTTGAGCAAATATTTCATCTGTAGTAGGGTAGAGTGTAGCTTAAAGTCCGACAGGTAAGAAGTCCCAAATTGAAAATCATTAATTGTTTATCAATTGACTGAACATTGCATCACATAATTCAGTCAACGGGACGTATTAGGTAACATTGAAAGCGTTACCTTTTGATTTCAAGTATTTTCACGATTTGAGTAATGATATTGTACAGCGACTGCTTATTTCTGCCTAAGAGTAAAAAAACTACATCGTCTAAGAGTAAAAAGTACATTTTCTTATGCATCATACATTATTGCTTAGTAACGAATTTATGAAGTGTATTAAGATTGTATGTTTTTTTGCAATATGGACATGCTTTTATTTATTTCTAGATGATAATTTTTTCCAATATATATATCGAAAAGTTATGAATGTACCATTGGGGCAAAAATTCAACAAGTAGGGTATGGTGATAAAAAACTTGTTTTTCGTATAAATGATTGTAAAATTTATTAAGAACGACCTGAAGATGTCTTTTTTCATTTTTCGTAAACCATAACTATCGTGCTTTACTTTTATAAAATGTTTGTCAATTTAAAATGGACTTTTTGCCCCACACCCAGGGCAAACTACTTTCCATGTAATATAAAATTAAGTAAGTAAGAAACTTTTTTCTAATCAACAGACATTTACCATTTAAATCCCTTTTTACATATACGACTTATTCTGTATCACTTATTCTCCAATTATTCCACATAATTTCATTTTGTTCTCTATTACTCCGTTTGTAACGTGTTTCCTTATATTTAACGGTTTAATGTCGCGATTAGTTTGTATTTTGTAGTGCATGTAAACAGATTTGAAATGAAAGGACGATAAATCTTTAAGTGGGGTAATAAGTTCCAGTAAGGGACTTTTTGCTCCAATGATACCTTCATAACTTTTCGATATATACATTAGAAAAAATTATCATTCAGAAATAAACAAAAAACATGTACGCATTGCTAAAAAAACATACAATCTTAATATACTTCCATAATTCGCTGTTAAGCAATAATTTATGAGGAATAAGAAAAAGCAGGGAATGTACTTTTTTACTCTTGAACACGAATAAGCAATCGTTGTCCGAAATCGTCGTACAAGTCGTGAAAATACCTGAAATCAAATGGCAATACTTTCAATGTTTCCTAGTACCTTCCGCTAGCTAAATTATGTGATGCCGCACTCAGTCAGTTAACAAACAAATAATGATTTTCAATTCTGGACTTAGTATCCGCCGGACTTTTAGTCCCACTGTACCTTATCTACATTATAGAACCAAAATATCTTGGTTTTCATA